CAAATCTCCTCAGCGCCACCACTCTCCAGCACTCTCCGACGGCCCGAACGCAAGTTTCCTTTTCACTTCTTACTCTAGGCGTTGTTTCGCAGCGATTGCTCGCCGTTCTCACAAACCGAGGCCTTTCCGAAAATATATGTCCTTCCCGTTCGTTTTTTCTCGAGGGCGTGGAAGAATCAGAGGAGCTCCGCTCACTTGAACCTCTCCAGCTCCGTATACACGCATTTTTCGCCGCTCACAGATGTTCCCCTTTCTTTGAAGTGCTCGCCGCAGTTGTTTCTCGGAGCACTTCTCGCGGGAACGTGCGGATATAAAGGGATGATGAAGAGTAAGAGCATGAAGAAGAAGGGGGAAAAAGGGAGGCAGGAAAAACGGAGTAACGTTCGAATGCAGCGGCATGCGAGCGAGTCTTGTGCCGAGTCTCAGAAGGAGGGCCCGGGCAGTCGTCGGCGGCTTTCAGCTGCCATATTTCATGGCGAAAGAGGCGCGTTCTGGCGCTCTCAAAAGGGTCTGTATACAAGATGACTGTTTGTGTACCAGCCAGGCCGAACGAGCGATAGGCGTGCGCACGTGCGTAAGTGGCCAACTCGTTGAGAAACTCGATATCCGAGTGGTGCGTTTGTTTTTTTTTCCCCTCGGAGAGCGAATGTCCGCAAGGAGCGCCGCGCACGTTTCGGAGGTTACGTTTATGTAGCTCACCTATTTTTGTTTCTTTTATTTCTTAAACTCTTAAGGACTTCATTTCTTGTTGTTTATCGAGAGAAAGCTGCCTCGACGGCGATTTCGGGAGCCGGAAGTGGTTTGCGATTGCTGCGGGAGAACGTGGCTTGAGCGTTTGTCTCGGTCAGTAAAAAAAAAAAGGCACCTAGAGTCAGGAGTGAACGCGAACAGGTCGTTTTGCTTCCTTGCTTTCAGCGCCTGAACCAAAAAGTTTAAAGTTTAATATGGTTCCAGAGTTTTCCGCCTCACACTCGTTTTATGAAATTCACGTTTCTTCTCGCTCTTCACCATTTCGGCCGTTAACAGGCGTTCTTCTATGGCTGTACATGCGTCGTGAAAGGTCACGGCAAAAATCTCCACACCCTTCGGTTTTCCTCCGCTCATTGACAGCAACACTGTGCGACTCATTTACTCGACTGCGAGGCCGTCCACGCAGAACACGTGCCATCGTTTTCTTACAATAAACTCGTGCAATTATTTTCTTACGATAATTTACAGGGTCCGACGGTCTTTCTAGCACTTTCAGATCTTCAGGACGTTTCATGTTTGTAAAAATGGTTTTCTTTGATAATCCAGGTCCTTCTGAAGGATTCACGTCCACAGCTTTGCTTCAGCCATATTCTTCAAACGATTTTTTTTGTTCTGGTAGTCTCCATCTACCTTCCGTCATAAAGAAACTTTTCGAATAATGCCAGCATTTTTTCTTTTCCATCGCTCTAGGAGCCTTGCTAGCAATGCCTATTTTTTATCATACAGATATAGCCCGAAGCTTAAATTGAGATCATATCTATTTAGTTGCCCCTCTCGTTTGTCCATTAGCAGAAGCATTTTATTTCGTGTCCTTTTCTGTTTAGTGTGAACGCCATTTTGTGTCCTGATGAACCGTTAGCAGGACATGAAGTGACGTTGACGCCAGAGTTATGTTCCAGATGAAGCGGAAAATCTGTCCAGAAGCACAGTTTTTAAAGAATAATTTCAAAAGCTACTTTCCTTCCCTCTTTCGTATAACTACTATTTTCTGCCCTCTTGTACTCTCCTGCTTAATTGAAATGGTGTGTACGTGAATGGGGGAGATACAAATTATGAGCCAATTATTTAATGAATGAATAGACTTTAGTTAAAGTCCGGCAGTTTTACCGGGTGAGGTAGGGTAAAAGGGGATAAACCCCCGTCCCTTCCCACTCTCCGTAGATTATGATGGCGCTACCTCAGATGACCGCTCGAAGTCCTTGGATCCGGGCGCCATCCTCAGCTTGCCGGACGGCCCAAAGCTGGTCGGCCAGCTCGTCGCATGTGAGTGCCGCCTCCCACCGGCAGCGCAGCTGACGCCACCGATCAGCAACAGTGACCGCAGCCGTGGTGGAGACCGGCCCCTGCCCTCACGCGGTGGTGGCAGCAGCAATTGGCCTCGGATTCCGTCCCTGTCTAACACGCGTCGCGAAGGGAGTGGCGACATTGGCGTTAACTTTTTCATCACACTCCCAAAGCATGTGCCGCAGTGTGGCCCTTTGCCCGCACGCTTTATACGCGTCCGTCGGGTATAGATTTTTTTTAATTAATTTTTCTGCGACAGAACACGGCTATAAAAATTATATCAACCAAACCAATATGGCAATCACGTGAATCATCTTCCGAAGCGAGCAGTTTTCGGAAAAGAAGGAGTGGCGAGTAGCGCGACTGATGCACTCGAGCAGAAAGGAAGAAAAGAAAGAAAGAGAGAAGAAGAAAAGAAAAAAGAGAGAGAAAAAGAAAGAGAAAAAGAGAGAAAAGAAGGAAAAAACAATGAACAAATAAGAAAGAGAAGGAAAAGAAGGAACAAATAAAAAGAAAAGAAAGAAAAGGGGAAAAAGGAAAAATAAAAATGAACAAAAAAGGAAAAAGAAAGAAAAAAGAAAAAAAGAAATCGCAAAAGATGGTAAAAGGGTAGTGCACGGTGTTCTATCAGCTGTTTTTTTCCTCGCCATGTCGTTTGACCAAACACCGGTGGTAAGGAGAGTCGAAAGAGCGGCAGTTCTATCGTGCCGACCGACTTTTCAATTTGGCTCGGTGACAGGCGATGAAGGAAGAAGCCGGCGTTTTGTCATTCCAACGCACTCTATGCCGATGACGACGACGATGACACTCGATTGGAAAGACGTCACTTCTCGCGACGAACGTGGCCGTCGTCACACCATTTTTCTATTCCTCGTCTAAAGCTCGCTCGAACACATGCTGTGCGGATGCTTCCGAGAATCAAGATTTCTTCAGACTTCTATGAAGAAAAAAATTGAAAAAAAGGGGGAAAAAGGCGGGTATGCCACCACTCGACGAAAGGATGAAAGTTGAAGACATAGAAGATGTGAGGAATAACGGTGTTCGTAGGAAGTCGTTCCGTCAACACCGTCTAAATAAATGCGTTCAGCAAACGTGAAAAGAGGAACCACACGCATCGTGATCACGACACACCTCAAAACGCTCGCTCAGAAAACCTAAAATTGTCCGTTATTAGCGCGCCCCTAATGTACTCTTGTTAATATTAAAGAAAACCGGTGTTCCTAAACGAAGCCACTGATTGCTTTTGTAATTGACATACATATATGTGCTGTGAGGTGTTCCAGATGCCGGTGAATAGGGCGCCAGAATTGGAGCTCTGCGCTACGTTTATTGAATCCCGACGACATACAACAACGCATCGAAAGAGCAAAAGTACTTCATCTCGCGTAGACCACAACTTCAAAGTTAAAGTGCCGTTCTGCCAAAGCAGCGCGTAATTTTATTCCTACGTGCCTAATGTCCAAGAAATAATTTGGATTGAATAACCTCCCTGCGTCTGTCGCCGGAAACACTGATCATGCATCATTCAAGACAGCCACTTTCATTTTGTAACGCCACTCCTCTTTGTATTGGCGTGAATGGTATTGAAAGTACCTAAATAAATAAATAAATAAATAACTAAATAAACAAACAAACAAACAAACAAACATGTGTTCTTATTTTCTCATTGCTAAAATATAGCAGTCACTCAAACCCCTTCGAAATCATGCCTTAACTAAAAAAAGAATCGGCCTGTCGTAGTTCCGCTGCGCTGCATACAATAACTTCGAGGGAGTTCGTTGTGGGTGACATGTCCGTCCCATTAGTCGATGTCTCTCGATGTGCTCTCTGGCGAAGTCGACACGTGAGCGTGGTGAAAAGGGGCAAAGCGACGGGTAAAGGAGGAGGTGGAGTTTTCGAGTGCTCTGTACGGACGCGCCGCCGAAGACTGGTTGTCAAGAGTCTTCGACGCTGACGGGCTCAGACAAATGAGTACGAGCTCCCGGCGTACAAGATATCGGAGCCTCGTTTAGAGAGGAAGTGGGGGCCCTCCGTGGCCAGACGACGCTCTTCAGCTCCAGCCAGTGAGATCGCGCGCCAATCGGTAGCTAGAGAAAAATGACGTTCAATTCGGCCGCGACGTGCGTGGGCATTACCGAGTTCCCTTCTTTTCTTTAGTTTTTGAAATATACCGCCGACAACCGCTGGTGATGGCTGATTCATTGCGAATTGGGTAGCGCGAGACGACTGTACATCTTGTATTACGATCATAATCAATCATGACCATTTATGCCTGTTGTCAGTTGGCCGTTTCAGAGGGCAGCCACCGCTTTCGCCATCCGCCACATATTTCGTTTTGTTTTACAATACTTTCACAGAGTGCTGTGGTAAAAATAGCCAGGCAAGTTCCAGTGCCTTGTGGCTGATGACTTATGACACCACAAAAGCAATACTATGCTTCCTGCGCTGAGAACTTCACTACTTTTGTGACTACCCTGTAGTCCCGACAAGCATTGAACAGTTGCAGCGCGTGTGCGTGTGTGCGTGTGAAGAACAATTTCAACATCCTAAACCACACTTTATTTTATCTTGAACACCGAACAGCCTTCTTTTTCTTTTTTTTTTTGTGTCTGTTCATTTCTTCCTGAAAGGCGAAGTTCACAGTTTTCCTGATCATAAACCTGCATGATCAAAACCTTCCTCTCTTTCGATACGATATCATTTCCGCAATTCTGGTAACGTGCTCGCAATAACATAATTAGGTATGAGCCCATCAGTTAGCAAGCTGTCACTACTGGCACGATTCGTCAGTATAGAGACAATACGGCGCCTATCAACGATCAAGCCTTCCATCTTCCTCGTTCTCGAGCACTTAGTCACTGAAACTTTATCAGGTTGCACCAGGTAGTTGAATGTGGGCATGTTCTTAACGACAAGTATAAACAGAGATGATCTAATGCACTGCGTCGTATTGTGTCGTTTTGCAGTTTCAGCAAGATGCTGCTGCAGAAGGAAGAGTTGGAGCAGAAGCACCTCCACCTGGTGCAGATCGTGGAGAGCGAGAAGACAGCCAAATGGCAGTACACCCAGCAGTGCGAAGAGCTCACCGTCGAGATTAAGAAGTTGCGTGCCGAGGTGAGCAGAGCACGAGGTGTGCTCGTTCGTAATAGAGCAATGATAATTGTTGGGGTTCACTGTCTACTACACGATCGGAATGCACTACATGATCACACTAACAGCTACACAATCGCCAAACCACTACACGATTACGAAGCACGCCCTATAAAAAATTTCGACCACCTGGAGTTCTTTAACGTCAACTTGAACCTAAGTATAAGGGCCTCTATAGTATTTTCGCCTCCATCAGAAATGCAGTCACCACAGGCGGGATTCAATCCCGCAACCTTGTAGTCAGTGGCAGAGCACAATAAGCACTAGACCACCATGACGGGTTTGTTTGTAACGTGGGAAGCTCACGAGAAATAGCGCACTCACGACAACCTCGGAACTAGGAATGCAGGAGGGCAGGGGCGTAGCCAGGGGGTGGCACACCGGGCTTGTACACTCTCCCCCCCCTTCCGAAATTTTGTTCGCAATGGCATAAAGAGCATTTTAAGGGGATACCCTTCCCCAGATTAAAGCGGTGCCCCTCTCGAAACCAGCAGACAACAAAGCTGCGGGACGTATAGGGAACATCACTACTATTTGTTCAAGTTTTGCATAGTCGTTACGGCATAAGTGGAAATTAATTTGAGTGAATGGAAAATCAAGTTGCGGCAGGCGGGTTCTGAACATACGACTTTCGGATAGCGCGTCCCATGATCTACCCATTAAGCTGCAGGAGCGGTCACTTTCCGATCCGCTTTATTCAGTGCTTCCCATCAGCTCTATCTTTGCGTCAACATGGGAGTGTTAGCCGGCGCCAAGAAATTTTGCGCATGTATAGCGAGTGTCTCGTTCAGGCAGACCTGATACCTTAGGCAGTATGCGGTTTATTGGTCAGCTTTCAGCTCGTAATAGAATGATGCGCTGCGTGACGCCAGCTGGCAGCTGAAGAGTGTTCCACACCCACCATCATTGCTGCGAGCGGCGCTGGCTAACGCTCCCAGAATTACACAAACTGCATAAATACTCAATGGTCAATCGGTAAAGTGTTTCATGAACTATCTGAAAGAGTGAGGTTTGGTTTTTACACCTGCGAAAAGTTGCTTTTTGATCCGCTTCAGTGTCATGATTACCACACCACTGTTAAAAAATACAAGCATGTTCCTTGTACATTCGTTAGTTTTGTTGTCTGTTTTTCTTATGTTGTGTCGAACAAAATGTTTTCTTGACACGTACACGAGTACAATGGACAGTTAGGCCAAGGGTAGCAAGGAAAACGTTATTTGCAGTTTCAAATGTATTAATTAGAAAATAAGGGAATAATAAAGTGAACTAGATATCCTAATTTTTAAGCTGCTCCAATATGGGACACATATTTGCCCTGTCTTATATAGTGCATACCTTTCATGGTCATATACGACGCCACCAGTAGAAAAACCATGCTAGAACCTAGTAGGATAGCTAACATAGTAACTGGAAGCAAGGCAGAAACGAAATCTTATAATGAAAATTGCTGGAGTTTTACGTGCCAAAAACAAGACATCAGTCGAAGGCATGCTGTGGTGGGGAATTTCGTATTATTTCGGAACACATATGGTGCTTTAAAGTGCACCCAAACCCAATCGCACGGGTGTTCATAGCGTTTTGCTCCACGCAAAAATGCGGCTGTCATCACGGAAAATCGCTCCCGCATACTGGAACTTAATAACAGGACAATCTACGGGCTGAACCACCACGGCGGATGGAAAAAAAATAAGAATGCAAGGAAGAACACGCGCGCTGCAGAGTTCTCGTGTTGTGTAGTGCCTATAGAGTCGAATATTAACAAACATTACCGAGATGTTTAAGATTATCTTATGCAGGCCTCCACATCGTAGACGGAAATAAACAGAATAAATAAACAGATTGAAGCAGCTTTCTTTGAGAATTCTGCGTCAGTTTCTACCGCTAACTGCCACCTTTAATTTTCAATTTTGAAGACGGTGAACGTGTAGCTGCACCGAAGAGAATAAACGCATTCGAGTGGAGTTGGACTTTCCATGCGGGCGAAATTTGGTCGACAAACTCTTACTCAATGCAGCGCACAGTGAAAAACACATGTCTTGCTCAACCAACACATAAGCCAACCACGGCGTACCATCCGCCGACGAATGGCTTGACGGAGCAGATGACCCGAACCATTATAGACATGCTGGCGATGTACGTGTCAGCCGATCACCGGGATTGGGATGCAGTTTTGCCTTTTGTCACGTTCGCCTACAATACGTCAACGGCATAAGACGGATGGCTATTCGTCTTTTTTTTCTTTTATTTGGCCGAAACACACCATTGCTAATGGACACGATGATGCCCTCCTTCTTCGACGTACCCACCCACTGAATACGCCCAAAAAGCTATAGCCTGCGCTGACCATGCCCGTCAACTTTCGCACGTTCAGCTAACTGACTCACAAGCACGCAAACATTTCGTCAAAACAGCCATCATCAAAACGTTCATTTTCCTCCAGGATCTTTTGTCCTCTTGTGGTCTTCAGCACGCCGTATTGACTTTCTGAGAAGTTACTGTTTCTTTACTCCGGACCATATTATGTGCGCCGTTAAGTGGCCGATGTCACGTATGAAATCGAACAATTGTCTTCGTTATCGTCCACGCAACCCCGAACCAACATAGTTCACGTTGTCCGTCTGATACACCAGAATCTCCCAATGCACATATATGATGACCACTTCCACTACCGTCTTTCTCCGGCTGCACCAAGTTGGTGCCTTCGCCGCCGCAGGGTAATGTGCCGCTAACCTAGAGGACGAAGACGTGAAGGAATAGTTGGTGCCTGCTCTCGCCATCTTGTTTTTTTTTTTTTTGCCCGCACTACTGTAGACTGTAAATACACCCGTTTTTTGTCCTCTCTTCGTAACAATATTTAGTGCGAAGCTCTTCTGTGGAGCATGACAGGATGAGTGACATGTTGTTCACCTACTTGCTAGAGAGTCATTTTGTTAGAAATGTCATTATGATGCACAACAGGTAAGAGTGCAAGAGCAAGAACTACCTATCCTTTCGTCTACCCGCTCTTGTAGTTCTTTTTTGCACCACCTAACAGGGTGAGGACACTTTCCCGCTGGAAGTGCGATCGATACTGCACAAGAATTCCGCATTACGATTACCTTCACCGGGACTCTCTCAGCGGGCAGGAATTGCAGACCGCGCACAAGCGCCTTCCTTACGAAACCCGACTCGTGGTAATGCAAGGCGAACTGGGACAGCTGGAAGCTAAGGCCGTGTTACCGCGAACGGGGTTCCCTTTGAGGCCTCGCAGATTATTCACACTCCTAGTTAAGTATGCACAAAGGTGCGGCGGGTAACCGACACTCTCGCGAAGAGAAACGCGTTTCCCGCAGTACCGGAAAAATAAAGCTGTGGTTTATTGATGACCCGCTCTTCGCATCGGGAAAGCAGGCGAACGCGTTGCGTAAAACCGGAAATTGGCGCCCGTTCATTGATCGACTCCTCGCACGATAAACAAGTCGCAGACGGAAGGTGCAAAAAGGAATAGAAGTGAGAATGTGCCACGCCCCTGTTTTAGTGAGCCATGGCGACGAACTCTTTTCCTTGGTCTTTTTTTCTTTTCCCATGTACAATGAAAACCTATTACAAAAGCAAGGTTAAAAGGGGGAACAGGTACACTTTTCTTTCAAATTTGTTTGCGTTTTTTTTCTGTTTTACTGCTCTGTCGAAGCGTCATACAAATGTGATCAGGTCAACAAGCCGCCAAACTCGACCGTACTTTTTTCCGCCAAATATCTCTCCGACAAGCGGACTACAACACACTCCAACTCTGACACAGTGAATGTTATCGTAAGTCTGCGTGCAAGCTCTTCACCTACATCGTCGAAGAGTTTTCTACTTAATTTCAAAGTATTGATGGCACTCACGATTAGATTAGGAAACTCAGAGCAACGTCTGAATCGCAAATTGAGGCGAAGATCTTAAGCGCTTGTGTTGTGTGTTCTTTGTAATAGTGGCTGCGCTTCCTAGCAAGAAGATCTTTCATTGGAGCATGTATGCCTCAAACGAATGAAAACGACGCGTAAAGTTGCAGTGAAACAATGTACGTCATAGGCAGCATAACATCATCAAAAAAAAATTATCTATCCCACGTTTGCCTACCTTCGATGCTGCCACCACCGCAAAATTTTCTTAAATGGCTGCACTTTCTCGCCTATTCCTCTTAACAAAAGAAGTTACTTTTGATGACTGCAATGCGAGGGATGATATTGTGGAGCTACGACTTTTTAAGGAAAATAACGCTTAATAAAGAGAAGAGTGGTAATGATCAACACAGACGACACGACGTAGATAGTACAGCATCTTTGCTGGGTACGTAGTACGTTGCGAATAAAAGAGCGATTAACGGTACATTTTAGTAGCCCAGTGAACCTACATGACAAATTCTTCATTCGCTCTCAAGTGTACATGAAGCTTTGTCGCTGGCATCTGAGCAAATATTGAAGCCCATGCCGGTGAACGAACCAGTATTGCTACGCTGTATCCCATTTCAGGTGTGCCTCGATATTGCACACATATTGCTATTTTTGTGCAAATAAGTGTACAATTGTCAGTATGACAAAGTATAATGTGCAATATTAAGTGATTCTTCAAAAAATCGGCAGAGGGGTGCTATCGTACTGCTCTGCCTATAAGTATAAGTTTAATGGGGGGAGACAGCATAGAAATGTGGTGGTGGTCAAATTTGACTGATTAGATGAACTCCAACGAGCCTTCCATGGGAAGTTTGGGTGCTTCTTCTCCATGCACGTAGTTATTGATTTCATGTTATCCGTGGGCATTGCTTAGTTTCCATACCTGATTGCGGGGGAATAAATTACCACTGGAAGCACCTCAAGTATTGGGAGATTTAGTGATTCGCGAGCTAAAGCATCGACTATTTAATTTAATTTTAACCCACAGTGACCCGAGACCCATAATAATTTTGGGTTATTCAGCTCCTACTGCTGATGATCATGATGATG